TTGTACTTTTTGAAATAAAATATATTTTATCATCAATTTCAAAATATTTCAACCAATGAATAACATATATGCAGAATATAAATAATCTAAAGTAATAAAAACACATTTAATTCTACACTAAAACTCTAAAACCCCTTATATTTTGAAACAAAACTAAAAGTCTAAAACCCCTTATATATTGAAACAGAGGGAGTAACAAATATAGAATTGTTTTAGATTACCGAAAAGTCGTTCGAGACTGTCAGTTTCACGTTTGTTCTCAAATTCAGATACTAATTATTAAAACTAGGTTTGAAGTCCCCGCGCAAGCGCGGGTTGTTTGCGATAGTTTTTCTGTTTAATTTTATTTATACTCGTTGATTTGAATTATGATGGTTTTGTATTAACTTTCATGTTTTTGTTATGTTTTAGTTAACTCAACCACTAACACTAAAAAAATATGAATAATTTGTTTTTTATTTTAATTTATTAGGATATTAACACCCCTTTTATCTCGAGTTTTCTATTTCTAAAATTTATCATGTTATAAATATTATGTTTGTTTACTTTTTTTTTACTTCTATTAGACTGTAAACATGTATATGTATTTGATTGAAGGTTAAAATTTATAAATATGTATATGCATTTGACTGAAGGTTAAAATTTGTAAACATATTCTTGTTTTTCACTACAATTAAATTTACATATAAAACTCATTTCTATTTGTTTAGAAAAACAAACTCTAACTCTAACTCTAATGTTTCATTAGCTTTCTATTATCTTAATTAATTTATATTCAACTTTTTAACTTGTAAACACATTATAACATTTTTAAATACGATAAATCCTTTGAATAAAAAGGTAAATATATACTATTTGAAGTTAAATATTTCTTTACTCCATCTCTATTTTATATTCCAACTTTTTGATAACTTTTAACATCAAATTATCACATATTTTCTATTAATTATTTAATTTATTTGTATATTTTTATTAAATATGAATAAATGTAAAGAAATATGAATAGTCATATATTTAATAAATAATTTAAATACAATTTAATGTTTTTGTGCTGATGTGACACTCTAGATGGAGAGGCAACTCTCCTATTATATATAAGATTCAGTTACTAATTATTAGCATGATTGTATGACTCTGTAGTCTATACATTCGTTTTCACATTATCGTCATCAAATTACTTTCCAGTGGTCCAAATTCATTTTATTGAAAAATTCATATAACTTATAACATAATTTCATACATTTTAGTAATTGAAAAATGCAATACTCTAGTATTTGGTGAGTGGTATAGCATTAGAATTTGTTTATTTTTAATTTTTGTAGTCTTGGTACTTTATTTTTCATAAATATTCCATATCTATTATCTTGAATCAAACTTGTTAATTATTTGTAAAATAATTTATAAAATACTATAGATAAACTGACCATGAATTATAACATACTTGTTTGTGCTAGTGTAACTCGTTGTCACTATCCGAATTCAAACTCTACATATAAATATTTTATGTAAGTTGTTGACAAAAAAAAATTAAACTATTTTTCATATATATAAAAAAAATCCTTGGATACTAGTTTTAGAAAACACAGATTAAATAATATTTTAGAAATCATGAGTGAAGGAACGAAATGATAATATTTGAATTATCAGATACTATTATAATGGAATACAAAACCAGAAGTGAAGCAACAGTTGGCTCGGTCGATATGGGTGCATAAGACGCATTATATACTACTTGGGGATAAGTGTTGACATCATCATCTTATTCAGTTTCATTTTTTTTTTGTGTGACTAAAGGTAGTTAAAGGGAAAGAATATAGGGCTATGAGTCTTCTGAAAACGTTTTTCTCTAAAAAATATCAGGCAGTTTAAAACAACAAAAACAAAAACAAATGTGGAGGTCTACAATTTTAAGGAATTTCGAAACGCATTAATTACTTTTCCGTTTCAAAAATTGGTTTGTCTCATTCATAAACTTGGTTAGAAATTTGACAAGTTTTCATGCCTTGCACGCAACAAACCTTGAGATATCGACTTAGGTTGTCTATATTATTATTTTTTAGGAATTAATTACAACCAATCTATTTATTCAATGAAGCGAGTCATAAACGTTATGTATGTTCTTGACAAAAAAACAAACGTTATGTATGTCGTTTTACTGGAATAGTATTACAAAAATAAACAAATAAAAATATCGGATTGTTCCGTCAGACATAAGTATAGTCTATTCAGATATTTTGTTAGTGCCTAAGTCAAGAAAATGTCAAAAAGTGAAGTAACAGAAACAGATAGCTGCTGCAAGTTGTGTTGCTCATCTGGTTACGTTTATTATTTCTGCCTTTGTAAATTTAACAATAAGAATTTTGGAAGCTTTTGAACAAAAAAAAAAGAATTTTGGAAGCTGTGACACAGTTCTCGGATGAGTATCTCGCTCAACATCCATGGTCCGTCTTCAGTGATCCTCAAGCATAAAACTACATAATCATAACAATCTTTTGAAGGCCTTTTAACAATAAATAAATAAATACATAATCATCAAAATGACGAACCATTTCAAGAAAAGCTATATGGCACAAATGTGCTTGAACTTCTGACATATTTCTCTCTTTATATATATACTAGGTTTGAAGTCCCGCGCAAGCGCGGGTTGCTTGCGATAATTTTATGTATGGTTTTGTATTAACTTTCATGTTTTTGTTATGTTTTGAGTTAAACCAACACTTACACTAAAATATATGAACAATTTATTTTTTATTTTATTTTATTAGGATATTAACACCTCACTTTATCTCGAGTTATCTATTTCTAAAATTTTAGCATGTTGTAAATATTACGTTTGTTTACTTCTATTAGACTATAAACATGCATATAAATTTGAATCAACGTAAAAAAAACATAATGTAACATCGCATTTGCACCCGAAATAAGATTAAAAAATAATATGTATACTTTTTATCTACTTTGTTGTGGTAGAATGTGAGCCTCATGACCATTGATTATTTTTTATTATGTTAGTTTTGTAAATAGAAATTGTATTTTTGAAACAAACATATCACAATCCTTAAAATTTTCATGTTTTTCTCTGCAATTAAATTTACCTATCAAAACTCGACTTCTATTTGTTTAAAAAAACAATCTCTAACTCTAATTTTTCATTAGATTTCTATTATCTAAAGCTAATTATATTCAATTTTAACTTGTAAACACATTATAACATTTTTAAATAGGATAAATCCTTTGAATAAAAGGGTAAATATATATACTATTTCAAGTTAAATATTTCTTTACTCCATCTCCATTTTATATTCCAACTTTTTGATAACTTTTAACATCAAGTTATCACATACTATATATAAATTAATTAATTTATTTGTGTATTTTTCTTACTTTTATTTATATTTAAAATATGAATAAATGTAAAGAAATATGAATAGTCATTTAATAAATATTTAAATACAGTTTAATATATTTGTGCTGATGTGGACACTCTAGATGGAAAGAGGAACTCCCTAATTATATATAAGATATATATATATATATATATTTCTTTTTTTTCAAATACTGTAAACACCTGGTAAGGTTGAAGATTTTTACCTACGGCTTCTAACGTGCGAAATTATATTATGCAAACATATACTATACTGGGATTATTCAATATTACTAAATTAGTAAGTATTTAATAATTCTTAAATAATTGAACATCTACATTCATGTATATTTTGTTCAAATATCATATGCATTTCGCAATCAAATATCAGTAATAACTTCTTTTAAGGGGATATATGACGAAATTGGTACGATTTTTGGGATAAATAAGTTTACAAAAAAAAATATCACAATTAAAAATAATGATAAAGAAAGGAAATGATTGTACGAGATAGATGAAAAAAGCATTTTGGTGATAATACCATCAAACTCTGTGTTGATTTTGCTCAAGGCATAAAACTTTTGTGACTTTAGAGCGTTGGTTTGTACAAGTTCAAAAGTATTGGCTTTGATAAGTTAATAAAGATTCATGATATTTTAGAAAAGAAATAAAGACACTCAATGATTTGTCCATGTCCAAAGGATTCTTTTATCAGAACACAATGTATACGCAAGATTTAAATTAAAGCAAGGATTTGAACCAGACAGTAAGCAAAAGCAAACGAAATGGCTAGCGTTCACACAAATTACACACTGGCTTTTGTCTTTGTCTTTTTTCTAAACGAATTAATTGCAATCGCGAGAATTTATGTATTAAAAATTAAAGATTCTAATAGTTCGGTAGGTACGTGTATCCATCTTAATTTAATTTTTGGTGCCTTGAGTTTTTAAACAAACGCAATCATATACAGATTTTTCTCGAAAGAGCAAGTGGGCGTTTATCGCAGCTTGAACCTAAAAACAAAAACAAACAAAAAGAAATCGCAGGAGTGTAGCTGGCTTCAAACTACAAATTAAGAGAAGTGTATATACTCAAAACCAAACATTTAATTGAGTTTAGATAATTTAAAGTGTTTAAGAATAGTTTCAAGAACAACAGAGTTTAGGTACTTGTTAGAATAAATACTCACATATATATACAAACGAACCTATGAAAATTTAAAGACTTCTAAGAATTTTAGATAATCTTTTAAAATTCATCATTGAAGAACAGTGTAAGTGAGATATTCCATCATAACAAACTATTTAAAAAAATGTTTAGATGAATATTAGTATGCTCTAATTTTTGTTTTCTATGTTTCACTAGGGTTTGTGTTAAGAGTTCGAAAAATGTGAAGGTTTTTTTTTCATTGATTCTAGCAACCGATTACCTTTTTCGAGGTGGCAAACATAAAAGTAAAATCGACAACTTTCGTAAGCAAATAAAATAAAAATATAAATGCTTTTAGAAGAAATAACCATTTTTTTCTTTAATTTGCCCATGATCTGTGTGTAGTAGACGAACAAACCAACCCTATAAATACATAATCGTCTCTTTGATCCAATAACCAAATTTCTCTGAGAACAAACAAAAAAACATGAACTCCAGAACATCTTTTCTCACATTTCTCCTCTGTATTTTCCTTTTCTTGCATTTCTCACCCTCGAATTCCAAATCTATCAAAAATGACCCTTTATCCTTCTCACCGTCAGCGAGCCTGCCTACTCTCACGGCGGAGAGGCTAATCAAAGGTTTTAATCTGATGCCTAAAAGTGACGTCAATGTCATCTCTAAAGAAGGTTCTGAGGCTCCAAGACTCGTCGAGAGGGAATTCAATTTGCCGGCGGCGATTGACCGTCGTGACTCCTCCGGTTCTCCTTCGCTTCAGGATTTCGGTCACCATGCTGGTTACTACAAACTCCCTAATTCAAAAGCAGCAAGGTAACTTCCGGTTTAATTCAACCAGTTCAACCAATCCGGTTTAATTCAATTTTTTCTACCGTATTTACATTCCCTCTAAATGCAAAACCGGTTCACTACTCTAACCGGCTCAGTCTGGGATTTTAACCAACCGGCTTCCTAATTCCTTACAAAAATTAAACGGATAAACCATAAACTCAACTGGTTCAACATATCTCGGTTAAATTTAGGTTTTACTCTTATCGTGTACATAATACATATCCACATTTCCTCTATTCGATTTGGTACCAATGCGGTTTACTTTGGAAGTGTAACCCAGCCGGCTTCTTAATTCCCAGTTTCATCAAAAAGATAAAAAACCAATCCGGTTTAGTTTTCGTTTTCTATCTACCGTTCAACCATTTTAACGTACTCACTTTATACATCCAAACCACCAAAAGAAATAGCTGTCAACAATCCGGTTTTAACAGTTGACTCGGTTAACATTGGCATTGCGACTAAACCGTGTTTTCAATTACTCAATTTCTTCACAGGATGTTCTACTTTTTCTTCGAGTCAAGAAGCAACAAAGCCGATCCAGTGGTGATTTGGCTCACCGGTGGTCCAGGTTGCAGCAGCGAACTGGCTCTGTTCTACGAGAACGGACCTTTCACCGTCACCAAAAACTCATCTCTTGCTTGGAACGAATTCGGATGGGACAAGGTTGGTTTAGAATACAAAATGGTCAAACCAAAACACGCTTTCTCATCCTAATAACCCAAGATTCTCAACAAGAAACCAATAATCGCAACCAATTTTTTCTTTTGCTAATTTAATATTATATATTACAGGCCTCGAATCTTATCTACGTGGACCAACCGGTCGGGACCGGCTTCAGTTACACATCGGACGAAAGTGATCTCCGACATGACGAGGATGGCGTCAGTAATGATCTTTACGACTTCTTACAGGTTCAGTTTCAATTCTTTCCTCTGTTTCTCTCTCATAAAAATCTCATATAAGTGAATGTTCTTGAAGAATCTGAAAATCTTCTCAGGCGTTCTTTAAAGAGCATCCGCAATTTGTGAAGAATGATTTTTACATTACCGGTGAATCCTACGCCGGACATTACATTCCGGCGTTGGCTTCAAGAGTTCACCGTGGTAACAAGAACAAAGAAGGAACTCACATTAACCTCAAGGTAAAAAAAACAAAATACTACACAACGATCTTACCCTTTTAAATTATATCACATTGGCTTAACCAACCCGGTTTACATCAGGGTTTCGCAATTGGTAACGGTTTAACTAACCCGGAGATACAATATGGTGCGTATGCTGATTACGCGCTAGACATGAAGCTAATCTCACAATCTGATCACGATAACCTCGGCCGAAATTTCGCAGCTTGTCAACAATCCATCAAAGAATGCGGTAAAAAAAAACCCCTCAATCAATCTCTTTCTTTACAAAAACATTAAAAAAACCTCCAAAAGTTTTTATCTTTATGGAACCTTTCTAGCGGTTTCAGGCGCTGAGGGTGGTGAAGCTTGTGCTTCTTCTTACGTTGTATGCAACAACATTTTCCAAAAGATTATGAATATCGCAGGAAACGTAAACGTAAGCATCAGTTCACTTTCTTGAACTTCTTTTGTTTCTTGAAGTAACTTACAAGAAGTTGATTTTTTTTTGCCTCTGTTTTGGTCTCTTGAAAGTATTACGACGTGAGGAAACAATGTGAAGGAAGCTTGTGCTATGATTTCTCCAACATGGAGAAGTTCTTGAACCAGAAATCGGTTCGCAAGGCATTAGGTGTGGGAGATATCGAGTTCGTTTCTTGCAGTACCGCGGTCTACGACGCAATGCAGATGGACTGGATGCGGAATCTTGAGGTCGGGATTCCTCCTCTGCTCGAGGATGGAATCAAGATGCTTATATACGCCGGTGAATACGATCTCATCTGCAATTGGCTCGGTACGTTTCATTTTGCTATGTCCTTGTCTTTCCGGTACGTTTCAGCCGGTTTAGCTGAGATTGATTAGGTACATTTTTCTTGGTTTTTTTGTAGGAAACTCCAAGTGGGTTCACGAGATGGAATGGTCAGGGCAGAAAGAGTTTGAGTCAGCCGCCACAGTTCCATTCCATGTAGACAGTAAAGAAGCCGGTTTAATTAAGAACCACGGTTCACTCACTTTCCTCAAGGTAAAACCAAAACAAAACCATAAACTAGACCTGTTTTCATTGATCTAACCTTACTTAACTTGAAATTATGAAAACGTTTTTCTATAGGTCCACAATGCTGGACATATGGTTCCAATGGATCAGCCAAAGGCAGCATTGCAAATGCTTCAGAACTGGATGCAAGGAAAGCTCGGTACACCCACTGGTCGGACCGCTCGTCAGTGATTCTAAAATACCCAAACCAGATTGAATTATTATGTATCTAGGAGATCCAACATGTTTACATTTCAAGGAGACGAAATAATATTATACTTGTGAATCAATCCTCTGAATATATACACACACACACTAACAAACTTCACTGTTAAAGCTGTTTCAATGTGTTCACTTGTTAAATTAATTAACAAGAAAAGAAGACAAAAGTCCATAATATGTCACAAAGATTCGACTCTTAAGATGATACACACAACCTGAATCTGATAGAGAAGATGACACATAGAGTGTAAAGCTTGCAAATTTATCGATGACCCTCGAAAGAACGATCACGATAATCCTTATCACCATCATTGTCATCATCATAATCGTCAAGAATGAGTGTAACACCATTGTTTCTCAACGAGTTAATCACAGCCCAAACCTTGGTACGACTCTTGAAACCTTTCTTCTCGATTTCTTTCTTGACATCGGCGTGGATACCTCTTCCTTGCCCGTCTTGGAGCCCTTCCACTTTCAGCCTCATCGCCAAAACCTCTCCAACGATGGCCGCGGCTTTGGCGTTGGAGGTACGTCCACACTCTAGCGAGTTCTTGATTGCGTGCTCTACGGTTGAAGCTGTCGTCACTACTCTCCCGTTGTTTCTGTCGATTACGTTTGCTGTTATGTACTTGATCGACATGAACAGCCTTAGGACGTACCTTTTTATAACTGTCATTGTTTGCTTATACAAGACTCTGTTTCGACCTGAAAATGAAGAATGAAAAAAACAGTAGATTGATTAATGCCCTTTTCCAGAAGATAAACAAACATTATAAGAGAAAGAAACCAAAAATATACTAAGAATCTCATGAAGCATAAACAAACAAAAAATGGAAAAAATATAGGCATAGAAACTCTTTCAGAGGCAAATGATCGAACAGCATGTGTGCATACAATACAAACTGAAAAATACAAACAGAGAAAAACTCAAAATTTTATAACCTTTGAAGCTACGAAAGTATAACCTTCAGAGGATATTTCAGTTTTCTCGGATAATCAGAACTGAAAACTGAAGAAGAGAATCTGGAGAAGAAGAAGAAAGATCAAAACGCGCTAATCAAATTTTTCATTTCTTAATTCCATGGAACTCAAATTGCTTTTATACTACCATGGAGGATAATGGGCCCTTTATTACTTTGTCCAACTTCAAATTAAAGCCCATAATGTTCGTTATACAAATATTAAAACGGCGTCGTATAAAAGTTTGGTTATGTAATTAGGCAGATGTATAATTTAGTAATTACAGTGACGACAACATTGATTGATTCAGTTTCTGAAGCTCAACTTTGGATTTTGAAATGGCTGTTACAGTTCCTGAGCATATATTATACAGTCACTCGGCCAAAAGTCACGATTACAACAAATTTATTTGCCTCTTATGGTTAGTAGTAAAATACTTTTGTTATGTACATTATGTTATGAATAATCTAACGTTTTTTTTTTTTAACTTAACTACAAACAGAGGAGAGAGTAGAAGACGAGAGGTATAAAGGCGTTATCTAGCTGCGCCATGTAAGCTTCCAACATCCCGGTGGCTGTAACCGCTACAAGCAGCGACCACCATCCTTGGCTCAGTGTATATCCCATTGATGCCAACACCGGAATTAGCACGAAGCACACTGCCATCACCGATGTTATTCCCGCGTCCCGCCGCTGTTCCTTCTACCGTTTTCTCTGGTTAGCATTCGACAAGTATTAGTTTCCGATGGACGAAAGCAAATATAGAAAGAAGATGCTCACTTCCTGTCTTGCTCCATCTCAACACACCATATTTGTGACCAACCATCGATGCCTGTTAAACGCAAATCATTATACTAAACATTAGAAGAGACTAAGGTTTCTGTAAAGAGTTGGGAGAAAGAGAGCTTACCAGTTACCATTGTATCTCCAATACTGTTGGGCCTTATAATATATTTAAAAGTAGGCCCATTAATGTATTTAAATAAAAAGCTCTCAAGAGCCCAATGAGAACGAAAAAAGGAAAAAAAGAGGAATTTGTTGTCATTGATGAAAAAAAGGAAAAAATCTCATTTATCTGATTTACCCTCAAACGTGGTAAGTCGGCAATCTCAGGTCTATAAATAGAGACTGTAACCCTCACTATCTATCTCACTTTTGTTTCCTCAGCCACCTTTGAGAATTTCTTTCGCTTCGATTTCGATTTTTTTTACTTCGAACAAGGTTTCTGAAGCGCGATCTGAAACCCTAGAGTCGATTCGGTCAGAGAACTTGAAGATGGAAAAACAAATAGTGGAATCAAGAAAGGTGCAAGCGAAATATCACGAGAAGAAGGAGAAATCCATTAAGAAAGAGGAAGACTTCCCGAGCAAGCAAGTCTCGGAAGAATCTGAGAAGAGTTGTTTGACAGACGAAGAAGAACTAGAAGAAGGTGAAATTAGGTCTGATCAGAGCAGTAACAAGAGGAGAGGAGAAGCTACGACGACGATCGCTTGTGAATCAAGAAAGGTACAATCGAAATATCATGAGAAGAAGGAGAAATCGATTAATAAAAAGGATTACTTCTCGAGCAATCAAGTCTCGGAAGAATCTGAGAAGAGTTGTTTGACAGACAAAGAAGAAGAGCTAGAAGAAGGTGAAATTAGGTCTGATCACAACAGTAAGAAGAGGAGAAGAGAAGCTACGACGGCGATCGCTTGCGAATCAAAGAAGAGAACGAAGCTTAATCATAAGCCAAGCGAAGAATCTCGCTACGATGATACTACGTCGTTTGATGACTGGCTTTTTGGTACCATTAATCATCAGAAGAATGGGACTAGCTATAAGAAAGCAGCTGCGAAGATTGGTGAGGATGATAAAGACGTGATCAACACGAAATTGCAGAGATCATCAGGAGCTTTTGTCGCTTTTCCTAGGGCTCAATATTTGTCTCATGTGGGAATTTTTTCATTACCATACACAGTCATATTTTAGGTCTCCAATATTTGTTTTCTTTCTGTTCTCTTCGTTAACTCTTGAAAGGGAAGAAACAATATGTATGATTCAGTATTTGATATAAATAAGTATGTTTGAGTTAAAAAAAAAAAACTCTGCGTTAGCTTGTATACACTTGGGACGATCGTAACAATCACAATGTCATTGGGACTATAAAGATCTGTTTATAAGGATTGGAAAATACTGATGTTGTATATGCTCATGTTTCCATATGTGAGAGCCAATTGTAATATATTCATTTTTTTCTAATTGAAAATATTGATTTTGAGATTTTAAAAACAATTTTGGTGCTGCCCAGGATCGAACTGGAGACTTTTTGCGTGTAAGGCAAACGTGATAAGATAAACAAAAATAAAAAGAGAAAGAAACCAAAAAAATACTAAGAACTTCATGAAGCATAAACAAACAAAAAATGGAAAAATTGTAGGCAGAGAAACTCTTTCTGAGTCAAATGATTGAACAACTTGTGTGCATACAACACAAACTATAAAATTACACACACAAAAAAACTCAATTTTTTCTAACCTTGGAAGCTACAAAAATATGACCCTTCAGAGGATATTTCAGTTTTCTCGGATAATCAGAACTGAAAATCGAAGAGAGAATCTGGAGAAGAAGAAGAACAACAAAGATCAAAAAACGCGCAAAGTTCATTTCTTAATTCCATGGAACTCAAATTGCTTTTATACTACCATAATTTGCAGTTAGATAAGTAATAAAGGGCCCATTTAAAGCCCATAATTTTCTTAGCCCAAATAAAAACGGCGTTGTATAAGAGTTTGGTTATGTAATTAGGCAGATATAATTACAGTGACGACAACATTGATTGATTCAGTTTCTGAAGCTCAACTTTGGAATACATTACGATCTGCTTGGATTTTGAAATGGCTGTTAAGTTCCTGAGCATATACTATACAGTCACTCGGCCAAAAGTCACGATTACAACAATTTATTTGCCTCTTAATGGTTAGTATAGTAAGATACTTTTGTTATGTACATTATGTTATCAATAATCTAAAGATCTTTTTAACATAACTACAAACAGAGCAGAGAGTAGAAGACAAGAGGTATAAAGGCGTTATCTAGCTGCGCCGTGTAAGCTTCCAACATCCCGGTGGCTGTAACCGCTACAAGCAGCGACCACCATCCTTGGCTCAGTATATATCCCATTGATGCTAACACCGGCACCAGCACGAAGCACACCGCCATCACCGATGTTATTCCCGCCGCTGTTCCTTCTACCGTTTTCTCTGTTCCGCATTCGACAAGTATTAGTTTCCGATGGACGAAAGCAAATTTAGAAAGAAGATAGAAAGAAAATGCTCACTTCCTGTCTTGCTCCATCTCAACACTCCGTATTTGTGACCAACCATCGATGCCTGTTTAGAAGCAAACAACATTACATTGGAAGAGACTGAGGTTTTTGTAAAGTGAGAGTTGCTTACCATTGTATCTCCGATCCCGAGGCTGAGGATTCCGGCGAATGGGGATAAAGCTCGGTCGTTGAACCCAGAAGACATCCATATTGGAAGCGCACATCCAAGCAAGAGTGAGAAGTGGCTACAATGGTCATATAGAGAAGAGAAAATGTGATACCTCTACAATGGTCTAAAGACTCTAAAACAGTTTTGGCATTATACCTGACGATCAGAAGCTCAGAGTCACGATGGTCCGTGAAAGCATTCATGAATTGATGTAAAGGCTCTCCAAGCGGATGAATTCTCCATATCTGGTTTCGCAGAACGAATACATTTCAATAAAATCACATTGAAAGTGAGGAAACCGAGAAGGTGAGTTATGTGACATGGAAGGAGGCTTACTCGAATGATCTCCAACGCGACGAATACAGCTAAAGCTACACCAAATGCTAGATCGAGAAATTTAGGCTGAACGAAAAACATGAAAAAATCATAAGAAGCCACTAGGAGAGCGGACTAACACATAGAAATAATTTGATCACCAGTCACCTGTAAGACAAGAGCAGGCAAGAACATTAAAACAGCCATCAGATGGTAGTACTTCCGGAGCAAGATTCTCTCAACCTTGCTACTCCTCGAGATGTTATAAAACCGCAAGACAGACACAGCGATCAACAGAATCCAGTAGAAGCATAAGGAAAGTCTCTTCAGAGGTTCAGAGAAGACAAATGTGAGCACCCTGCGATAGCAGAGTAAGAAAAGTTAGATACAATCAGTCAGTCGCCGAAAAGATATAAGTCAATGAGATATCAGAGATTACGTACCATAAGAAGGGATGCTGGTGGAAATCATGCACAAACTGCATCCAAGAAGGAACAGCCACGATCGTGAAAAACAGAAGAGAAACAAGGAACACGACGGATTTAGCAGCGTCGCTGCAGTTTCTTTGTCCAACATCTCTCTTTCTCAAAGAACGTTCATATATATGAAGAACGAATCTAAACACAAACGGGAAAAGTAGAAGTCCCAACAGTAGACCCTGAGAAGGAGACAGGTATAAAGCTGTTATTCAGCAATACACTAAAGGTTATCCATTTAAGTTCTATTTGTTACCATCATACCTGGACGATTATGCCGGTTTCGGTTCTCTTTATCCCATAGCTTATTGAGACAAGATCCACATGTATCAATCTCTCGAAAATCTGTAACAGTCGTCAAAGTTACAGTGAGGAAATTACTGAGTTATTATTGCGAGCATTGGAAAAAAATTAAAGAAGTCTAACCTTTGCAATTGTGCATGCCAAAAAGTCGCCAAGATAGAGAACAAGACCACTGGTTACCAGAAGTGCCTCCCCTGTAAAAGGTGAAGTACGAAATATGTGAAATCAAAAGAGGTAATGTTTTAATCAAATCCAGAGTTCCACAGAGGCAAAACCATTTCATGAAAACTTAAGTGGCTCTAAGAGCATTGTGAAAGAGGGAAATGATGGAAGCAACCAGTAAAAAATTTCTACTTTAACACAAGTCACTAATAGAAGTAGTCATTGCAATTACCAATTGAGGCACAAGAAGTGAAGGTGCAAAGCAAATGTCGAATTAACTTGACAGCTGCAACGCCGTGAAATAACATCCACAACATCTTTAGCGACGTGTTCAAGCCTATGAAGATAAGAACAAATCACCAGTGAAAATCCAAGCGGAAAAACAAAAAACAGAGAGAAAGAAAACCAGAAGTGTATCTTCGTACCAGTGTGTGAGATCATGGAAAGTGAAACAAAGCATGCTGCTCCATACAAAACTGTGCCGGTTAAGCTAACACTCGTAAGCCAAACGGATGATGGAGACGGAGAAGAAGATTCAGTTTTCTTCTTCGCTTTTGACATAATCACTGAGAGATATATAAGTATGGCGCAGCAGCTTGCTGATGCTGCCCAGTACTGCATTGTCACATGCGCAAGCTCTACACAATACAAAAAGATGAACAATCTAATGGTTAATTGAATGTGTCGATTTCAATATGAACATGAGTTTCCATGAATACCATCTTGTTTAGCTTCATGGATTGAGATAGCTCTTGTAAGCTGAATCAACTTAGAGATCATAACAGCAGGAAGTGTTACTGCTCCTAGCAATATCCCTGAAGTTGCACCTCGCCTGCATTTTGCAGAAACAAACGAACTTTGAATCTCAGACTGTTTAGTGCTTCGAATTATGATCATTCGTAGCTAATTCAAATCATCTCTTGGCGAATTTTGAATTTTGAAAAATTCGTGAACATGGCTTTCAAAATAGATTGAAAAAAATCAAATTCAAAACAAAACCATTGGAGAGAGAGTAGCGAAAGCTCAGAGACCAAAAGGGAAGGGGGAAATTGACCTGGGGCTGAAACGAGAGAGGAGAAATGGAGAAGACTCAGCTCGGATCTCGACGAGGAAGGCGGAGAGGCAGAGGAGGAAGAGGGAGAAGCCATGAGCGATAAGAGATAGAGGGAGAGAGAAGAGAACACGAAAAACCACGACTGCCACTACTACTCTCTCTCCCGTCACAAACGACGTCTTCGTTATCGTCGCCGTCTCCATCGACGTCGATGATGATTTACCGGTCATATGATCGCCGGTACAGTAGATTTTCCTCGTTAGGCGCGATTGTTTCCTCGAGACGCCGTGATTTGGTTGGGCCGCCACCAAACGAGACTTGTATGTATTTGGGCCCACAAAACACGGTTAAGTCACGGACTTTACGGCCACGCCAATTATTCAACGTGAAAAAAAAACTTAAAAAAGTCAATTTGATTTAAATTGGTTCGGTTCAGTTCAATCTCGGTTATTGAAATTTAGATTCTTAGCCGTTGAGTGAGAGAGAGATAAGGTTTTTGGGAGAGATATGAAATGAAAATTTCTCTGTTGCGATGGAGCTCAGTCTCAAGCTGCGATCTTTTTCATTCCCCTCCTCGGTTTCGAGTAAGCTTAACAAAAACACCGTAATTCTCAATTTTTATCTTTTGTTCCATCTGAGAGAGATTTTGAAGCAATTCTGTACAGTTTGGTTTAGAACTAAAAAGGGCACAATTTTATCAAAATTTCTGATGATAAATCGAATAAATGCATTTGTGAAAATCCAATTTAGATAATTTTCGATTTGGGTGTTCAATTTTTTGTTTGATCCTCTTAGATCATAACAAAGAAATCGCAAGATTTTAATGAAATGGGGGAATTGTGGTTAAACTGTATGAACAATTAGCTAAGTTTTGTGGTTTTTTATCTGAGGAATCATTACTAAACACTAGTGTCTGATTCATATCTTGTAGGAGAAAATAGTGTCTTGACCATGTAAAGTTCTCTTTGCAGCGTCTGAGTTTCCACTGTTGGTTATTTCTCTTGTATTAGGTGTTAAGGATGCAAGGTTCTTAAAGTCGATTATTTTCTGCAATTTGAAATCATCACATCATCAGAAAGCTAAGAGATCATCAACAGCGATTCCTGCATTAGCTGAAACAGCTGCTTCTATAGCAATTGCAGCTACATTTGTCGGCACTGCAGCGACTCTTCTTGTTCGGAGAAGCAACAAAGCCTCAGAAGAAGCCGAGGTTAGTTTTTCTTTATTATATGAACTTTGAACACAATCCACATCGGTTTTTTCTTGATGAAAGCTGATATCTACGTTGAGGATCCGAATGGTAGGCTTCTACGAAAGAATGTGAAGTTTGCGGCGGTTCAGGGATCTGTTCTGAGTGCAAAGGTGAAGGATTTGTTCTGAAGAAACTATCAGATGAAAATGCTGAGAAAGCAAGACTCACAGCAAAGAACATGGCCACAAGATATACGGCCGGGTAAACAATAACTAAATTCACTTATTTTTCTTCCCCTCAATCTTCTTTAGTCCCACTTTTATTGATTTGTCAAGAAAACACATGTCTTAGGCTTCCCAAGAAATGGAGCTACTGCACTAAATGTTCTTCAACGCGATCTTGTATAACGTGTGGTGGAAGCGGAAAGACAAGCATCTAGAGCCCTTTTTGCAGTACGTGAAACCCTTTTCTTCTGAAACTCAATTCAAAATCTTATCTTAGCTTAGCTTTCTTGTAATGTATCTCATCAAACTTGAGTTTTTACATTTGCAATCTTCACATGTCATACTAGCTTTAGTTTCCTTCTTACTCTTTCCAGATCCTCTGTGATCTGTTTCTTAGACGTAAAGATTACTAAAGTCAATTGCTTCTTCTTCCGTCTTTCTTTATTTCTATCTATCTCTGTCACGTTTCTCCAAGGAAAAAATGTTTCTTTATCTAGACTCTTTTATAGCATGAGTATGACTAGCTGCGCCTCAAAACACTCTTCTTTTTTCAGTTCTTGATCGATTATTTGAATAAGTAGATTGATGCAGAAGTCTTTCATATATAAAACGACATTATACATCACAGAGCACCGGGCTCACTGAGCCTCACTTCTCAAGTCAGGATCTTACTCGGTACAGAAAGAACATAAAACAAGCAAAACATAAAAACCTAACTTTGAGGGTTATTTATATGTGGAGAAAAGAGCTCTAACGTCCTTTTACTAGACATGAGCCGGACTTCCGGTCTGCGGTGTTGGACTATCAGCCAACATCGCTCTCCGGCCTCTCTCCGACCGGCTGTTCTCAGCGAACTTAATGCTTCCCTCATGTAGCCCTAAGCTCTTCTCTTCCTCTGTCCATTCCGCTCCATAATAATGCTCCTCCTTTGATCTCTCTTCGTGTTGCGATGGCTTTAAGAACATGCTTCCCCACTGCGGAAAATGTATAAACGCAACCGGAAGTGTGCACACGACCGCCATAACCCCCATCAACGAAAGTCCTTCAGCTGTACTAAACCTCGCCGAGGAGAAGAAAAGAAGCTGAGTAACACCTGACCCGAAGTTTCCTCCAGCTCCGGTTAGTCCCGAGATAAGACCAAGGGAACGTCGGGAAACAAAAGGAGCAACACCGAAGAGAGCTCCGCAAGCGGCTTGTGTGCCGATGGAAAAGAGCATCATGGCTAAGATAGCTATAGGGAGTGTACTAGCACGGCCGAGCCAGATGCAGAACAGAGCTCCAATGGTTTGTAGGATCCACAGGGTCCATAACCGGCCTCTCATGCCGAAGAGCCGTGCAGCTACATCCGAGGCGTAGCCACCCAAGGGACGTGCGAAGAAGTTTGCCATACCGAAGCTGGCTGCTACTATACCGGCTGTGTGTAGCGTAAGGTTAAACCTGTCGAAGAAGTATCCGGAGATGACGTTGTTGATCGTTAATTCAACTCCCATGGAGAATCCATAGAGAACGAATAAGATCCATGTTCTATAGTTCCTCACAGCGAACCAAAAGACCTATTAAAAAATATAACAAGAGCAAGAAAAAATATAATTAGAAGTAGAACCACTTTAATATCTTATAAAAATTGATGTTAAATATATAGTTTGTAACAATTAATTACCTTGGAGAATTTGTCTTTGGAAACTTGACCACTCTTTTGGAGGGTACTGAGGTTGCCGTCGGGGAGATCTTGGCCGAGAGTGAGGACAAGAATGCCCATAATGATCTGAAGGAAGCCGGGGATGAAGAAGGCGAACCTCCACGCCGTGAAAGGAGTGGCTCCGGTGAGTTTGATGACGTGGAAGACCATTGGCATGAGTAGCTGAGTCACGCCTCCTCCCATGTCTCCCCATCCTCCGGCACATCCGTTAACGAGTCCTATGATCTTTCCACTGAACATGACGCTCGTCCAGTATTGGCATGACACGAACGTGGCTAAGCAAAAACCGATCATGAACCGAACGGCTAAGTAGCTTCCGGCATCAGCTACGAACGACATGGAGAAAACGGCTGGAGCTGAGAGCATGAGGGAGAAGGCAGTGCCGTAACGTGCACCGAGAAGGTCACATACTGCACCCATAGCGAGTCTTGAGAAAATGGCGCCGGAAACGGATGCTACTCCGGCGTTTCCGATGTCGCTATTGGTGAGGTCGAGGTTGTCGCGGATGATGGGGACTAGAGGTGCGGCAGCGAAGGTGGAGATGAAGCAAGTGAAGAAAGAGATCCATCCTAAGTGGAAAGCTCTCATGTGTGGTTTGGCGAATGAGAGTGGTTTGAACACTTTTGCTCTATGTTCTGAGTCAACCGGCAAAGCGAACTTAGCTGTTGGATCGTCCGATCGGACGGCTTGAGATGAAGGGCCATCTTCGTCGTGCACGGAGAAGGAGAAGACTTGCTCCCTTGCGGTGACTCCATGCAAGGAGCTTCCGATAGAGCCGTCTTCGTTAGAGTTCTTGTGAGCCATTGATCTTTTGGTCAAAGAAAACGTGGGAGAAACTAAGAGAAAGACTCTAGACGGTAAAAAAGGTTTTGTGGCCTTTGTTGTTATTTGTTTTTGTTGTAAGTTGGAAGAAAAGGAGTTGCATAGTATTTATAGAGGAAACTGAGATCACACTTGAACATGGTGGGTAAGGTTAGGTGTGGGTCCAACTATAAGATTTGAGTAATACTAGATGTTAATTGATGATGAGTTTGGCTACAGAAACTTTTATTTAGTTCACACGCAGATGAGAATATTCTTTCTATTCGTCTAGCATATTTAGTTTATGCATAATGCAAATTACGTGCTACATTCATTATAAAAGTGTGGTATGAATTAGCCAGTACGTTTCATTTATTTCTTGTACCATATCTCTATAAGGTATAAGAACATTATATATTCACAAAAATAGTATTATACAATTATATTTTTCGTACGAGTTATACAATTATATTTTTCGTACGAGTTGAATAAACATAAAGTATACCAACGTGTCATTTTCACCGCCGGCTTAACGTCCATTTCGCGAATATGTAGCTAATATACAACCATGATGAGTCTGCCTGTTGCATGGAGGTATAATATTATGTAAGATGTATTGTTTAATTAAAAAAAATATCATAACGTTGATAGATTATTGGATATTCAGATGGTTGACACTTGACGTTAACTAAAGGCCAAATAGAACGTACGGTTCATTCTAGAGTTTTTTTCTAACAAAATAATTTTGGTTTGTCTTTCATGTTCATGTTATATCAACTTATCATCCCATGTGCTCGACTGGTCAAATTAATTTAGTTTTGCAAGTTAAAGAAACAATGTTTTCGCAAGTTGTATATAGATTTATCAAAAAAAACTCGCGAACCTTTAAGTTTCGTGCTTAGTTGACTTTGTTCTTTAACAAAAAAACAGCTGTTTTTTACTTTGTTTCAAATATTCATGAATAGTGAACTTTGTTTCAGCTATGATTATCCGTCTGATTATTTCGAAAGAGGTTTATTTGCTGAAGTTATTGTAGCCACCGCTTCTTAAAGTAACAGAAGCAATAGTAGTTCATAAATCTTTTCGGGAAGTTAAATATATATTGATGTTTTGTCTTCATCATCTACAAATATCTTCAAAGAAGTGTTATAAATAATAGTATAGTCCAAATGAATTGTTGGCAGGTTATATTCCGCGTATGCTCACAATGGTACGTACCTACTGATAAGTTGACTTTCATACATCTTCCTCAATCAATGTAGGGGCTATATTAACAATCCCTTCGTTAATTTACTGGTTAAATTAAGTTTTAACTTAAAACTAAGGGTCTAAAATTAATCGTATACTACTAAAAATCCCATTTTATTTTAGATTTGAGTTTTAAATGTTGAATATTTATGTCTGTCTTGGTTTTATTATTGTTGAATTTCATTTGACACTTTTTGACATATTTCATTTTACACTTAGGCAACGAAAAAGATTCAATATTTATAGGTAAAGAAAATTCCAAGCATGTGGGGGAAGTCAAACAAAAAAGCTCTTTAACCATCGATCTTTCATTACGGCTGGTCGTTGACTTGTATGAAGTGTATGATTTTTACTTAAAGTAGTTGCAACTTGCTAGATTTTATAGTTGTGTGTCCATATCAAAAAGTTATTGCACTAAAAGGGTCTAACGTTTTGTCATATTTGACTTTGCTACCAAACATAACTGAAGAGTAAATAGAAACAATGGTGTAGCTCGAGTATAAAAAGAAAATGTAGTTCTCTCCTTTAACGAGATAGCTGATCATATAAATTAATGTATTTCTAAAGCACATATATGAGTCATAGTTTATCAATGAATCCTAAAAATATATAGCAATTTAGGTTTCAGTTATAATAATCTCATAAGACTTTGTAAGTTACTAGTTTTCACTAGTTCTGAAAAAGAAAAACACAAAACAAATTCTTATACATTTTCGCTAACTGATCGTTTCTTTACTAGGCATCGCATAAATAATATTCTCTATTTCTTTTTCAATACATCAAAGATCTCTAATCCAATAGATACATATGCATCTCACTACAACAAAAAACAGGAAGCATTCCGACGACAATCTCCGAAGAAATCTCCAATAGTTCAATTATCTACAATATATAAGAGAGAACACAAAACTATATTCCATCTACTAATTCATCAAACCCAAATATGGGGTATAAATATAGAGAATCTAAAGTTTAAGGCTATTTTGTAAATATTCGTAGAAAATATGTTTTTAAAATCGCCTCTTGAATCACGGCAAGTTTCATGTAACTATCAACGTGCGGTTGTTTAGCTGAAAAGTGGGTGATGCTTATCGTGGTTTCTGATAGGCGTACTTATACATTAATGATACTTAATTTGACTTATATAAAAGTAATGTCAAAGTCGTCCGTCTTACGATTACTATTTAATACCGTACAGATCACAATTCTTCTTTTCATGCTTTCTTTTCTCTTGATGACGTGGAAGATGTACGGGCCTCTGACTAATGACTCTGATCCTCATCATTCAACACATATCATTCACGACTTCTTTTAAATTGGCACTTGGCAGCTTTATATCTCTGTACTTGTCTGCGGAAAGGTCTTTTTAATTCTTCTCAAATAGAGTTATGTTACAACATTGTTTATGAATTAGTTTGCGTAAGATCTTTTCCATTAGTTACTTAGGTACATGACATATTTTAACATGACATATGTGCTACATCATCAAGGGTAGAGAAGTTCCAATCTGATCTTCAGACGAAAGTAAAGTTCAGTCTTGGTCAGCAAAAGGAGTCTGATCGTTGATCCCTAAAACACTCGAGTGCTCTAATACAAAGCTAAACCACGTAACAATCTATTATGCCATTCAGTATATTACATACTACGCCACTTACAACCCTGTCTAGTAGATAAAACAGACGGATCAACCGGGTTCAACCCGATCAAAACCATTTAACTCCACAAGATTATTTTAGCTCTTGAGGGAGACAGCTCGATAAATTTATGGAGGAGCTATCAGAAAAGACGGAGTTTGACGTCGGTTATATATGGGGTTCACGTCGGTAAGAGAATGACGCTAAAAACTTAAAGTCAGTTTATAAACCGACGTGTCATTCAATGACGCAGACCATTGTTGCTTCACTTACAACACCGACGTTAACCAGACGTCAATTGCTGCTTCAGTTAAAAAACCGACGTTAGGCATAACGTCATATATTTAGCTCATTATTTTGTGTGTTTAGGTCAATTCACAAACGACTCCAACACTTATGTTTATGTCATTTTTAAAACCGACGTAAATGTTAAAAGCCTAACGTCACTAATACAACTTTGTTCTTGTATTTAATATAATTGTAATTTAAAACATTAGATGACAATAAACTCATAGTAAAATCAAATCTTTTATATAAAATCAAGTAGAAAATACAATGTTTTGTTTATGTATAAATGAAAGATTGACAGGAGCGTATGAATGTAATATCAAATAGAAAATACAATGTTTTGTTTCCAACTTCCCGAACGAATCCTATATATCACCTGAACATATCTCACCTGCAAAAACAAAAACAAAAGTAAGATCAGTAATCATGATTTCTAATCATTTCAGTAACCAAAAGTAAAATGAAAGCAAGACCTTTAATACATTTCAACGAAAACAGAATCTCTGTTTCTTCTAAACCAGAATCTGTATCCTAATCAAGACCATTCACATATGAGACTACTCAAACAGAAAGTATGGTTCTCTATAACTTAGCTAGCCACCATTATGCTCTTAACTAAAACAACACCACACCTTCACACACCATAACCATTAGAATTCTTAACATGGAGTTGGAGATGTGTGTACCTTCGTAGAGGAGGTAAGCTATCAAAAGCAGATGACCTACGTGGAGGATTTCTGGAGTCGAGGCTTGATGAGGACTCAGTTTCTGACTCTCTCCTTGAATTAACACCCATGGTCGTCTCTGTCATGTCTGAAAAAAAAAAATGTTGATCACTAAAACCTGAGAGCAGAATACAGCAAGACTAATGATACAGGTTTTACAGTGAATCATGATACTTCGAACTGCAAGAAACCTTGAAGAACATCGAGAAGGAGAGGTCGATCTCCATTTCTGTTGAGCTCATAACCATGGTTGCTACTAAAGTAGCCTAGTTCAGATTAGTACGAAAGCACTCATCCAAATTTTACTGAATGAAACAAACAACTTGATTACCAAATTGCATTCGGGTTGATAAACTTTGAGCGTGTGATTGAGTTGTGCCCAGTCCAAGTATTCACAGATTAACGCAGACAGCAACCTCCCTGCATTCCATTCAACAGTTCAGAGTGAGAACCTAGTCAATGCTCATATGCCAAGTGCACACAGTACTCAAACTCAAACTGCCAAGGCAAGACTAGACACAGTCTATTCAAATCAAAACCAGAATTTTTTCTATGTTTATAAAAGTGAACCATTAACAGAGAAAAACGAGTATACAAAAGGTATGAGAAGGCATCAGTTTCAGAAGGTACAGATTACCTGAATCACTTTCCAAGCCATCAGTTTCAGAAGGTACGAACACAATACCATTCATAAAAATCAGTAGACAAAACCAAATATGAGACTTGAGAAGACCAAAGTTCACAAAACAAGTTCAAATATTCAAGAGATTCATTCACAGTCAATTAAAGCTTTCAGAAGTTCAATTCCCAGATCATGAAAGAAGCTAAGCCAATATCAATAATATCATGAAAGAAGCTAAACTAGATTTCTCGTAAGACAATGCTTTATGAGAAAATTGATCATGAAATTTCACAATCAGACTCAACAAAACCAAATTTGTTGCCACTATTTCACTAGTGGCTTTCTCCCATGGAACCATGAAGAGAAATTCTTATTCTAAGATCATGAGAAATTCATATGCTCAAAACTAATAGATCGGATGCAAAACTAATAGAGCTTCAAACAACTTGATTTTGACCTGTTAAAGCTAAGAAAAGAAAATTTATA